TAATAATAATAAGAAAAAAAAACATTAATACGCGTACTCGACTCGTGCGTATAAAAAAAAAAAAAGAAAAAAAAATAATAAATAAAAGTACATTTTGGGGAAAAAAAAAAAAAAAAAAAAAAAACGTTTCACGATTTTGAATAACATACATAAATCCACCCATCCGTGAATAAATATCAAATAATTAGACAACGTTAAAATACAATATATGTGTAACAGATAAAAATGATAAACTTACCTGATTTTTACCCTTGAGAACGAGGACATTGGTGACACGACCAAAGGGTAAACCCAAATGTATTATCTCGGCCTCGGATATTTCATTGGGTATATTTCTTATATGAACTACTTTAGACGGCTTGCCATTGTGGCTCTTGTCGAGTTTGACCTGAAACACAAAAAATGAAGCAAAAAAAAATCACGTTAATTATCAGTTACAAACGAATATAATAGAGGGTAGTAATCAGTTTAAGGGGGTAGGTTAAATGGAGATAAAAAAAAAAAAAAAGGTCTGGGTAGGGGGGGCCTGCCTGCCTTGTATGAGATAATGGAAACAGACTAAACCATGATGAGCTTGCTTGTGAACACCGAGATGATATCTCGGGATGGGTTTTCTTTGATAGCAATGAAAAATATAAAATTAAAAAAAAAAAAAAAAAAAATGAAGAAGAACAAGATTTCCCCTTCGAAAAAAGAAAAAAAGGACGACGAAGAAGAAGAAGAAGAAAAGCATGGTTCCCAGTTGGTTACATTATTTAGTAGTAGTAGTAGTAGTAACGTAATAGTAGTAGTGAAAGAAACGGAAGACGTTCAGGAAGAGACTTGGTACTTTGGAGTGTACGTTTAAATCGAACTCCCCGGGTTGCCGGAGGCTGAGTTTTCAATCACAGCTCAATCTAGTCGACTCTTTTCTCTGTTCAGTTCAGCTCAGCCACCAGCAACCAGTGAAGCTACTCCCTACCACCCACCCCCCACCCACCCTTTCCCTCTTTTACTCTTCCTTGCTTTACCTTCTTGGCATCCCTTCCATCTTTTCTTCCTTACTTCCTTCCTTCCTTCCTTTTTTACTTCGATTCGGAAACACTCTTTTTCATCTTTCTCTATCACATGCACAGTTATTTTTCTCTATCTTTCTTTTACTTTAACATTTTATATCAAGATAGAAGAAGAAGAAGAAGAAGCTTGGAAGCTTCAAACTCCAACTACGTTTCCATCCTTTTCTTTATCTATATATATATATATATATGTATCCCTTTTTCTCCCCTAAAAACGTCGTTGAGGTTTAGTTGAGTTTAACTGATCGGAAAATGCGTTTCTTAGCGAGTTAAGGAAGACAGATATTTCAGAGGCACCCCCTATCCATAATCCTCTTTTCTCGTTCGCTTCCTTCTCGAGTTCTCGAACAGCGAAATATTTCAAAGACGAGAAAAGATAGAGAGAGAGAGAGAGAGAGAAAGAGTAAGAAGGAAAAGATCGATACATATATACACATACATATATATATAATGTTACGTACGTAAGTTCGAGTTTACGAGTCTACCCGTTAAATAATTAAAGCACGTCTTTCCTTGTTGATTTAAGATCGAACTCTACTTACTCTTATATTCCCTATTTTCAAGATGCTTGCTTGAGATACCAAAAAGAGAGAGAGAGAGAGAGAGAGAGAGAGAGAGAAAATTTGATCGGCAAGAGCCAGAAAAAGAAGGAAAAGTATCCAGTAAAAGAACGTGTTTCCTGTTAACCACACATGTACGATGATTCAAACCCCCTATTCAACATTCTACGTTCACGACTGACCTAACTACCCACCTTTCCCCATACCCAACTCCCCAGGTTGTCAAAGATGCACTAAATGTTCACTTTAACATTTATTTTTTATCCAATCACTTTGTGCTGATAAGATTTTGATAGAATTCATATTATATGGTTAATGTAAAATGCATATTTTATTTGTTAATTTTATTATTTTTTTTTTTTAATAATTTTTTGACAAATTGTAGAAATAGAAAAGAAATAAAAATTGTATTTTATATTTTGGTGATTAAAAATATTATTAGTGAGTATATAATAGTTTGCTAATTTTGTTAATAATTATTTCTATGTACAATTTCATATTATGTGTGTGTGGAATTTATATAGTGTAAATATTTAATATTAAAAAATAATATTGTATGTGTGATACACAAAAGTAGTATAATACAGTAATTGAATATAATATATAAATGACAGAATTATTATATACTATTTCGTATACTATATAAACACATAACTCTATCTCGTATATATGAATTAACAATTAGTTTTATTTCAATAAAGTGAATGAAAATAAAAAAAAAAAAAAAATAAAAATATAGATATTTGATTATATTACTTCGAAAAGGTTATCGAAAAGAATTAAAAATACAAATCCCTGGGCTCGATGGTATTTTTTGTTATATTTTTTTTCCCTCCTATATATATATATATAAACTTTGAATAAAACATTGATATCTTTACGTATCAAATATAGCGCATTATTCATTCTAAAAAAAGGTTAAAAAAAAAAAAATATATATAAACTAAAAATACAAATGTTGATCTTTTT